AAATCCATTAAACCCTCCTTACAGAAGCCAAATTAAACAAGTACACAAAGAAATCCTGTAAGACAGGGGTTGGCAAACTTTTTCCGTGAAGGGCCAGAGAATAAATACTTTAGGCTTTGCAGAACATATAAGGGTACTTCAAAAAGTTCACGGAAAGATTTTTATTATCTAACTGTATTATCCATCTCTGTCACGACTAATCAATTCTGTCTGCCCTTGCAGTCCTCAAATAGCTGGAGACAATATGTAAATAAATGGGCATAGGTGTGTTCCAATAAAACTTTATTTACAAAAACAGGTGGCTGGATTTGGTCCTGGACCATAGCTTGCCCACCCCTCCTTAAATAAAACAATTTCAGTGTGGGAATATGTCAAGAATTCTATAGAAAGTTGAGCAGTCACATGGTAGAGTGAAAAGTTCCATCAGCTGGTCAGAAGCCCAGCTGTAAGTGCTAACTCTGCCACTAGGGGATTATTATCTCAAGTTCCTTAACCTTTGATCCTGCTTCCTCATCTGTGAAATGGGAACAATCTCTCCAATCTACCTCAAACAGTCACTGTGAGGAACAAACGACATAAGTATTCTTACTTTGCCCACTCGGGGTGATTTGCTAGAGTTTCGTTAATCAAATTACTCGTGACTTCAATCATGTGTACACTCTCTTGATGTACCTATATTACGGATAAAGAGAGAAAAGAATCTCAATAAAAAATAAACCCAACTTAACATTTATTTTTCTACTTTATTGTTGGAACAATGCTTTTAGAGCCAAATAATTATACATTTTAGTTTTAATTAATTTAAAAACCTGCACTGAAAAGTTGCCATACATAATGTCCTATGTATACACACTATGGGAAATAAAAAGTACATGGTATCTCCTTCCTGCCTTCAAGAAGCTCAATAATTCACTTAAGGTAAAAAATAAATACATATGTAATGAAAACAACACATATACATAAACATAAGCATTTAGTTTGCATATACATGTGTGTGTGAATTGTAAATGTGTGTGTGTGTGTGTGTGTGT